CTTTTTCTATCCCTCTTAGACCCTTCATGCTGTTTCACAGAGCTGCCAGTGATCAAGAAGTTTTTTCCCATACCTGACACAGCTTAAGGTTAGTGATACAGGCTTTGCATCTTTTTGTCCAGTCTTCCTGTTATCCTGGAGACAACAAGAGAAGCAACACCCAGGACACCCTCACAAAAACACACAGCAACTAACACCACAGGTGGGTACTGAAGAACTGCTTCACTCACTGCAGGTTAGTCTGACTATTACCATCACTGTGTTAGATCTCCTGGACCAATATCAGGGAGATTGAGTGGCTCCAATCAAGCCTCCAGACAAACGTGTAGCCTCCCGGTGACATCTCTACTCCAGGGCCCAGCACAGCCAAGGGAATAATCAAGAAAAGTAAGGTAAAACTATAAATGGAGGTAGGATTGTTGAAATATGTGTCAGTAGCGATTCAAGGATTTAAAAGGGAAAAAATGTACTAATATGGAAAAATTAAGAAATACCAATGAAAAAAATTTTTTAAAAAAAAATCTTAGAACATGGCAATTCATCACCATCAAAAAGCTATGCCAGGGAGCTCTGGAGGATGCTAAACCTTACCTCTCCTAGCTGATGCCTGCCTGGCTAGTAAATACACCTTGAGGGGATAAGGAAACTGATGCTATCTTTGAGACCTTATTAAATCCTAACCATACATTGCTTTGCAGCATTTTTTTTCAGCAGCGTCCAATGACAGGACAAGGAGTAATGGGCACAAGCTGGAACGTACAAAACCCACCTGGACGTGTTCCTGTGTGACCCACTGTAGGTGATCCTGCTCTGGCAGGGGGGCTGGGCTAGATGATCTTTTGAGGTCCCTTCCAACCCCTGACATTCTGTGATTCTGTGATCTCTTTATGCACAGTGAAAATTGCTGGAAATGGGCCAGAAATAACACAGGACCTCGTACTCAAGGAAATTAAGTTGCCTTGAATCCTACCATGCCTTCTCAGGTGTGTTCTGTTGGGAGTGTGGCTCCTGGGCTGTTCCTGGGGAAGGACTCTTTATCAGGGAGTACAGTGATAAGACAAGGGGTAACAGTTTAAAAATAAAAGAGAGTAGATTTAGATTAGACATTAGGAGGAAATTCTTTCCTGTGAGGGTAGTGAGACTGGAACAGGTTTCTCAGAGAAATTGTGGATGTCCCTTCCCTGGAAGTGCTCAAGGCCAAGTTGGATGTGGCTTCGAGCAACTTCTTCTAGAGGAAGGGGTTGGAACTAGATTGGCTTTAAGGTCTCTTTCATCCCAAACCATTCTATGACTCTAGCCATCACCAACTTCACCCTAATATTTGATCTTCACCCCTTTCCTTTATTTTCTCCAAATACTTGCCTCTTCCTCTGTATGCGTGTGGTTTCCCCCTTGTCATAAAACCCTTCCCAGCCTGCAAATGTCACCTATTAGTTACAATCACAGGCCCTTCTTTCAAATAAAAGTCCAAAGTCTCTCCTTCTCTAACAGAGGAACTGAGCTCGTGTATGTCCTGACTTCAGTGCCATTTACATGGTTGAACTCTTGCCTTTAGGCTTTGCTGTCAGGATCCCAGGATCATAAATCAAGCAATTAAAGTTTAAGAGATTGCAGAATAGTATTTAAAGATATGACATTTAAATTCAAATTACCACAAAATTACTACAGTTTTGGTATGAAAAAAAGCAAGCTATAAAACTGATGTATTAAACTCTGTAATTTTCTCTAAATTTTATGTTGAAACTGTATTTTCAGTGATTTATGATGATACTTAATGTCATCATTCAGTATTTTCCAAAAGGTTTTGTATAACCAAAGGATGCATCATTCCCCTTGCAGGCTGAATAGTTGCTAGAAAAAATAATTGCTTACATACTGCTCTACTCACATTTGGAAAAGTGTTCAATTTCTGACACAACCGAGAGTTCAGAAATGCTCCAAATTTATCTATTTATTGTTTCCCAAAAACCTTTAATGCTCATGGTGCATAATTCCCAGGATATCCAATGTAAAACACAAACCATATCCTAATGATTAAGTCATTCAGCTGGAATAAAATATGAAGACAGATGTGCTGGTATCAAGCGGTGGCATAACTACCTGCCCCAACAGGAGCCAGACTCCACATCTGCTCCTCCCTGGCCAAGCATGTCTGACAGACAAGACCACAGGAAGGTTCTCCGTCCTGGGTTGGTCCTCCTGGTCACTACTGCTTGCACAGCTGGCTGTGTTGCCCCTTGCTCCTACCAACCTTGTGGCAGTCGGAATAGTTAGCTAGAAACTCACCTGAGTGAGAGCGATCATGAAATCCAAGATATCCCACTGTAGGGGTTAATGCCCTGTGCACCAGGCAATCCTGACAAACTTCCCGATTCTGCCTCTCTCATGGTTTACAAAGGAAAGGTAAGTAATTTCTCCAAATCACAGAGAGCTATTTTTAATATAAATTTGTTTGATATATATCAGGGAGTTCAGTATGTGTCACTTTATCTCAGTGTATTGGGTTTGTGTGGCAAGGTTTTGGTAGTGGTGAGGTACAGAGCTGGCTTCCCTGAGAAGCTGCTAGAAGCTTCTCTCATGTCTGATGGAGCCAATGCCAGCTGGCTCCAAGACAGACCCACTGCTGGCCAAGGCCAAGCCCATCAACGACAGTGGTAGTACCCCTGGGATAGCATATTTAAGGGGAAAAATAACCCCCAAAAAGGCAATTGAGGAGTGAGAGTATGTGAAACAACTTTGCAGACACCAAGGTCAGTGAAGAAGTAGGGGGAGGAGGTGCCCCAGGCAGAGGAGCAGAGATTCCCCTGTGGCCCATGGTGAAGACCGGGGTGAGGCAGGCTGTCCCCCCACAGCGGTCCGTGGTGGAGCAGGTGTCCATCTGCAGCTTGTGGGGGACCCCACACTGGAACAGGTAGATACTCAGAAGCTGTGACCTCATGGGAAGCCCATGCTGGAGCAGGTTCTGGAGTGAGGAGCCCACACTGAAGCAGCTTTTCGGGCAGGATTTGTGACCCTGTGGGGTACCCAACCTGGAGTAACCTGTTCCTGGAAGGGACCCACACTACAGCCATTTGTGAAGACCACAAACTCCATTCCCTGTCCCTCTGCACTGCTGGAGCAGAAGGAGATAATAGAAAATTGTGAGTGAAGTTGGGCCTGGGAGGAAGAGGGGGCCTGAGAGGGTGGAGGGAATGTTGTTTAAGATTTGTTTCTATTTCTCATTATCCTGCTCTGATTTAGATTAGCAATAAAATTATTTCCTCAGGCTGAGTCAGTTTTGCCCCTGGTAGTAACTGGTGAGCAATCTCCTTGTCCTTACCTTAATACACAGCCTTTCCTTACATTTTCTCTCTCCTGTCCAGCTGAGGATGAATGATAGAGCAGCTTTTGTGAGCACCTGCCCTCCAGCCAGGGTCAACCCACGATATTCAGAAAGAAGAATCTCAGATACACTTCCCCCAGGGCATTTCTATCCAGCTGTTTTGCATCGCCTTCCTTTTTCCTCTCCTAGGTAAGTTAGTTTAAGTCCTACTCTGAGATGTCCCACCTTCTGATTTACTGCACAGGGAATACAGGCACTGTCAACTTCGGGGTGCTGCAACTGGGAATCCCAGTTTCTCTTCACATGTAGCCCAGTTTCACTGTGAAGAAAGAGTCTCAAGAGCAATTTTGGATTGTAGTAGTCAAATTTATTTCCACTGTAGAAGCACACTTGTTTCAGTAATAAAAAAATAACATTTCCTTTGCAGAATAAAAGTAATCCTGTAGTGGTATAAATATATTTACTTGCACAAGAATCCATGTAAGTCACTCAACATATATTCAGATTTAGTATTCTCACAGTCCTAAATTTCAAATGGAGTAAACAAAAGATTAGCTACCTGCAGAAAGATGAAAAATGAAAGTCTGGCTCAGTTGGGACCTTAACATACACGGAAACAATAGAAAGTCTCTTTTTCTTTTTTTATGAATACATTGCTTATGAAAAATACTGACAGCTTTCAGCACTGACCATTTCTCTTTGTCTAACTGAAACATACCATACGGTGCCAACCACAGAAGCCTCTGCTGGCTGCCTCACAGATGTGACCTCGGTGTTAAGTGTTCAAGCTCAGTGCTCCTCAGGCTGTGCTCAGCCTCTGCGTCTCCATTCACAAGACTCCCCTCACCAGCCACTGTCTTTCAAGGAACAAACAAGGTCTCGCAGTTTTCTTCGGGGTGCCACCATAGTAACTGATCAGGCATGCTAACTGATGAGTCTAAGTCCCTACACTATACTAAGACAGGTGCTATATTCTATATAGCATTATTACAACCTGGTGTAACCAACAGTCCAGCTTAAAATAGGCACAGGCGATGTGTAACTTTATCTAATATGAACACTTCACGCAAAAGGAAAAATACTATTTTCTGCACTCCAATTCAAGCCACAGAACAACTGTAAACACAACTGCAGTGAATTTAAGTTGTACTTCAACTTTTAGATAACGCTGGAGCTCTTTTTCCAATTGTGGGAGTGAAAAAAAACAAAAAGGGGAAATCAAGTTCAATGAATCGATTGCAGCACGATGTGTGTTGTTACTCATACTTATTGACTGTGTGGGCCATCATCAGCACCATGCCCTCACAACATATGCTGATTTATTCTGATCCTTCCTTACTGGTTAGTACAGTGAAAAAAGTACAAGGTTCAGCCTTGATCCTTCTCAATGCATCTACGAGAGGAGGACACCGAACTAATACAACACAATACTGAAGACAAGAGAACATAACACTTAGTTCTGATACACTGAAATGCAATTTCACACATCAGCTCATTTATGTAGACACACTGACATAACTGAGCACCATTCTTTTTTTTTTTCTTTTTCAGTTTAACATCAACATTCAACTCCAAACAGAAGAATGTTAAGCCTCTAAGACAGTTTCAGTATTAAGAAGAGAACTACCTCTATTTTACAAACATCAGAACACTAACATTGACACTTCATTTGAGAAGTTCACTGCAAGTGACCCTCTCTCTGAATTCGAAGACGCTCCTTCTCCACTTGCAAGCGTTCCTTCTCAATCTGCAGCTTCTCCGACTCAAACTTTAGAAACTGCAGCCTCTCTTTCTCTAACTGCAAGCGTTCTTTTTCAAGTTTTAACTTTTCAGTTTCTAGATCCAGAGGCTGCACGACAGGTTTTTCTGTTTGGGTGAGGTCGTTTTCCAGAGCAGGTTTTTCGGCATGCAGAGTCTCAAGCCTGAGCTTCTCCCATTCAATCTGAAGTCGCTCCTTCTCGATCTGAAGTCTTTCACGCTCCAAGTCAACATTCTCTTTTTCAATTTGCAGGCGCTCCTTCTCCACTTGCAACCTCTCGGCTTCAATGTCTAGTCGCTGCTTCTCCAGCTCCACCTTCTGCTTCTCCAGATTTATAAGCATGTGAGAATCTTCATAGGCTAGCCTAGCTTGAGCAGAGCCTAGATTTCCAAACTCTTCAACGTGGGGGAAATCTGCTAGGTCATTCTCCTTTTTTGAATCTGGCAAAACTGATGACAAAATTTCTTCTTCTTCCTCAATAGGAAACTGCAGAGAGGGATGCATTAGACAGAAATTACATTCTAGTCTTTATGCTAGAATCAACATTGTTACACACGTGTGTAACAATGTTGACTGAAAAGAATATATTGGGGTTTCTTCATCTTAAAAGCTACTCAGAACTGTTCAACTTGCATGCTGTGAAGGTGATGTTTTCTACCATTACACAGGTAGAGAACATGCTTTATCTAAGTTAATATCTAGTAACGAAAAATGGAAAACCAGCTTGTCAGTGGACATGCAAGAGCATACATAAAATACTGCACGACAGACATTGCAGAGCATTCTAATAGAAAACTGAACCTAAAAAAGCAAATGTTGGTTTTCCTTTTCATATAACTGAATGACATTTATGTAAACTACTAGAAATTTGTTGTAACTAATTTTTTAAGAGAACAGCTGCATCCATAGGCTATGTGGCATGTAAACTAACCCAGACTTCACTAACTTCAGCGTTCCCTTTCTAACTAACCTTTAACACTGATATTTTTCATGTGCTTCTAACCCTTCAAACTGTATTAGGTAGTTCAACACACAGAACTTGTTTAACCAGTTGTGTATTATCACATTTGCTGTAAAGCATACACAGATCACTAAGTGGTTGGGATCATTGCTCTTGGTGGACTCTAACAACTCATGTATAATTATACCCTTTATGTACTACAAACCCATAGTACACAAGGGAAAACCATCTCCCACCAAGTATAGTGCAAAAGAAAGGGAAACTGAGGAACATACAGGTTCAGAAAATTTTAAGACAATGAGAGCCACAGCCAGTCTTCTAGCATTAGAGCAGACAGACACTGTTCTTCAGCAGCTGTCAGACAGCAGTCTCATTACCAGTTAACAGCTTTTTTCCCCCAGCATGCATCTCAACTAAGCTAAGACAGGAGTTGCTTCCCCCTTCCCTCAAAAAAACCCAAACCAAAGCTGTTTAAGTACCACTTTTTGAAATTAGAACTATACATTTATACAGGCACAACAAAACATCCAAACATCTGACTTCATTCCAGCTGGCTGCCTACCCCAGGACAGTCACAGTATTACTAGGAGTAACAACCTGTCTACAGGATCCACAGCTGCTTGTCAAATTCACACTAAAATGCTGACAGAGAGGAATGGCTTACTGATTTATTCAAGTAGTATTTTCATCTCCTGCAGGTTCATTTTTCAGAAATGCAAACACTATTCTATTTCTTTCTGTATCTGCAGGTAACATAATTTCATTTGTTAGAGTGGTGAGGTTCTCTTCTCCATTCATCCATCTGCCCAGCTTAAATACTAAAACAATGAGTTTCCTTCAACAGCATATTTTCATTCTACTCACTGAATGAGTTCTTACTTACAGCATATACAAATGGAAAATATAAATGCAAAGACATATTCAAAGTCGAGGAATATCAATTTAATAATCAACATCCAAGACCTTACAAATGCAAGCTGCTAGGTTTGAATATCATCTCTCTTGAAACATATTTGTTTCTACACCTTAATTCACATGTTCAGAAAAAAAAGAGAAACAGATGCTATGAGGAAACACAGAAAAAAGCCTTATTCTGAAATTAAATGAAGGCCCTATTGTATACAGCTAATGTACACCAGTCACTCACTTCGAAATTCTGCGGATCCTCCTCTTCCTCTTCTACTTTGATTTCTGTTAAAGATCCCCCAGCTTCTCTGAAGTCAGTGATATTTTGCCATTCAAAGCTAGATTCAATTGCAAATCCCATTTTCTCATCCATGTCTTCATTGAGAGTGTCATCTAAATTGGATGAAGGAAGGTGAAACCCAGCACCCACTACTTTGATGTTTGCATTCAGACGTTTTCTCTTCATGAGTGCTCTCCAGTCAAGGTATCGTCTTTTCACTTCTGTCCCTGTTCTTTGCTCTCCTTCACCTACAGCATTTACACACTCAGCTATTTCCTCCCAAGCTTTCCGTTTCATCTCATTAATTGTTGTGTTAAGTTGCTTTGAAAAGAGTACTTCTCTCCTTTTTCTGATTTCCTTAAGGAGAGTTTGAGTTTCCTGAACACTAAAATTGCTTTTTCTTTTTCTTTTTAACTGTTTCATTTTTTCCAGCTTTAACCTAGTAATTTCACCACAGCAGGCTACAGAGATGATCTGACACTAATTGGTCATTAATGTAAATAAAATTTAAAAGCCAATGAAAGCAGGGCTCAGTTCTCGTGAAGCGAATTTTCTCTTCACTTTGTAGTATTTTCCTATATGTCAGGCTTCCTAAGAGAAAAAGAGCAAACAACATAAATCTCCAAGATATACACTGTATATTTTCATTTAATGAATTTGACGCCAAAGTCATCATTTAAGGAATGTATATTTTGAACTGATTGTTCATTTGATAGAAGAAAACTGTTTTGTTGAACTCTGAATATAAAGTAGCTATAGATACCTTCTCTAATCTCGTATGAATTATAAACCAATTAATATATCCATGTCATAAACCATTAAGGTTGAGTTGATATTTCCATTACAACAACATAGCTATTTTCCTTCAAGTCTTCCAGTTTTGCCAATCAGGATTTGCTTAAGGCTGAAATTTCACATAAGCATTTCAGTTTGAATGCAAAATTATTTCCAGAAAAAGCTAAAACTGTTTTATCATTACTCCAAAAACATGGAATGTTTAGGGGACTGAAAATTGAGACACATTTTAAATGATACATCATTTCCATTTAAAAATAAAAAAGTAGGTTAATATGAAAAGTTTAAGTTTTAGAAGCTCTCTGACTTATCTTAATCATACACACACAAAAAAAAAAAGAAAAAAAAGAACCAGAGCAATTTCGCTGAATGTCACAAGGTAACTAGTTGGAACAAATGTCATGCATTAGAGATGTGTTAACAGGAAAAAGATTTAGGAATAAGTCACTACATGTCCATGATAAGGCTCTGTCCTTCTCACACTGCGAAACACGTCATGCCAGACTTGATGGCAGGTTGAAAGCTTGTATAGTTCTTTACCCTCAGGAATAGCTGGTCCTGTGCTTGATGAAGAGAAAGCTAAATTCCACAACAGAACTGACAAATTGTGCACAACTCTGCTCAGAAAGTGGAAAGTTTGAGTGGGAGAAATGAGACTATTAATGCAGTGATGAGGATATCATAGACCATATTATCAAAAAAAAAAGCCAAAAAAAAACTTAAAACCAACTACGGTTCTTGGTTGGAGACTGCTTGGTAATGGTCCAACTTCTGTTTTATTTTGAACTTTCTCTTGTACCATGTTACCTACTGCTTTGGGTAGGTATTTTTAAACCAAGTAGGCCAATGTCCCATTATACAGTACTTACAGTTTCAAGCTGTTATTTCTTTACTATTAATCTTGTATAGACTTTTTGTCCACATGAAGCAAATGGCTTGCAGATTATATATTTGATAGCTACTGACTAACGGGCTTAACCCTGTACCCAACAATAAGCAGACTGGCATGAAGTATTTAAAATATTAATATTTAATAAAATATTTTGAAGCTTGGAACAACTTAGGCTTTTGTACTACGAGAGGCTTTAGCACAGGAGGACCTGGGT